TTGGGCTTGTGAAGTCTGTGTAAAATCTATGAAGGATTGCTCTATGTTTATGAGGTTGCTAGCACCCTTGTGAAGCTAGAAGATAGTGGAAAATCTGAAGTGAAGCTTGAGGAGTGGATGTAGGCTTGGTTGAAGTCGAACCACTATAAATCTGTTTGTCTCCTCTTCCCTAATCTCTTTACGTTCCTACTACTGCTATAGCTATCTAATATTCATGTGTTAATCATTTGATTTACCATGTATGTTAGTTAGACTTCATTGTTATTTTGCTTGATCATTTACTGCTAAGTTCATCATTGTGCTTGTTAATAATTTATTGTACTAGTAGTTAATTTTATTGGGGTATTATTAATTTTAATTTGTAGAAACCTAATTCACCCCCCCTCTTAGGTTGCTTTTTGGGTAACAATAGTTCTTAGAGTTTATCTTCAAATTTAAGCTATTGAGTCCATCCGATTAAGAGTTATATATTATCCTTTCATAATCATGCTGATCAAGTGTTGCTATTGTGATTTTTGGATTTTCAATATTTGAGTTTTCTATGTATGCTATAAATATATCCTTTCTCATTCAATTGATTTGCATGCGTGCTTGTTAGTATTACTGATTTTGTATGTGTATATATGCTACACTAAGGAAATGCTTTTTTTCCCTCTTGGATTGGACTTAAAGGAAAATAGTACAACAAATTAGAGACAAGAAGCTTGAGAAACTTATCTCGAATCATAGTAGAAGAGGCGTCCCTCAATAGCACAATGGTTAGAAATGAAATGCAGAAACAACCAATAATTTTTTGAGATTATTCCATTTTTACCCCTATACTTTGTCACGATTTTCAATGACTCCTCCAGACTACTCTTATTTTCACGCATACCCCTATACTATTAAGTTCTCATCAATTTTGCCCCTGCCGTCAGATTTGAAACGAAAAAAGTTTAAAGAATTACATTTTGGCCCCAAATTTCAAAAGAAAGATGCAGATCCACCCTCTTCCTACCAGCAAACCACCACCAGCAACCATTACTTCAAGCCCTTCTATCTCCTTTGTCATAACTCCGTTTCACCTCATTTTTATGTCGTTGGATTCAACTCACGGTCTAGTTTTCGTATCACATCTCACACGTCTCATTATTTCTCTTTTTGCATGCTATCGAAGCTTCGAAAGTCTATAAAAAATAAAAAAGAATTTTCTTCTCGTTTTTGACTTTTCTTCTAGCCATCTTTCGGACTTCATATCTTTCTCGATTCTTCACGGTTCTACTTCATTCTTTCGCCATTCTTTGCACCTCACTTCCTACTTCGCCCTACACTACCTCGCTTTCTCACTTCTTCGTGTAATGAACAGTTTTGGTATGCTAAAAGTTGTCCAAAAACTAATTTCGAAAATTTCAAAAGATTCATCTTTTGTTTCTTTCTTCTCCATCTACCTCATTCTTCTTCTTCTTCTTCTTCTTCTTCTTCTTCTTCTTCACTTATACACAAATTGTCCCTCTAAAATCCATTGCCTTTAATCTGAAGAAAAGCGGGAGAAACTTTAACAGTCTTTGTCTCTCTTAGTTGTATATTGGAAGCAACATCTCTGGAGAGTAAGAAGCTAAACAAGCTGAAGTAGTTATCTGTTGCTACTGCAAACTTAAAAGACAAACAAAGACACACACAATATTCCTTGTAAACAAATACCACTGGAATCCACAAAATGCTGCTAAGAAACACTTTTCACAAGACCAAGATGTTCTTTCACAAAACCTTCCAAAACCTCTAGTCATTTCTCTTTAGTGGAAGCTTCACGAAATTTGAAGACATGAATGCTCTAAAGAGCAAATGCAAAGTGAGGGAAAATGAAGAGAAGAAGATAGGACGCATCAGTCAAGGTAGAGGAGGAGAGGCATGTTTGCAGATTGGCAATGGAGGAGGAGGGGGCTATATATTGGCGGAGAAGATGAGAGAGATGGATATGAATGATGTGGACCATGTGTTGGACATAGAAGAGGTGCTCCACAACTACTTGCACCTTACATGCCCAGTTTACCTTGACATTGTTGACAACTTTTTCGTGGATATGTACTCAGAGTTCCTCATTCCAAAGCCCTCTGTCACCATTACCAATTCATCACGGAAACTCGGCCCTTTGAAGTTCTAGACATTGTTGCCGATGGTTTCTACCATGTTCATACATACAAATCTCTATTTGTCCCTCTCGATTTCTTTTTTCTTATCCTCCAGCTTGTGGGTTGCGTTTGTTTTCTCTTTTGAAATTTTTGAAATTAGTTTTCGGACAACTTTCGGCATACCAAAACTGCTCATTACACGAAGAAGTGAGAAAGTGAGGTAGTGTAGGACGAAGTAGGAAGTGAGGTGAAGAGAATGACGAAAGAATGAAGTAGAATCGTGAAGAATCGAGAAAGATATGAAATCTGAAAGATGGCTGGAAGAAAAGTCGAAAACAAGAAGAAAAGTCTTTTTTTAATCGACTTTCGAAGCTCCGATAGCATGCAAAAAGAGAAAGAATGATACGTGTGAGATGTGATACGAAAACTAGACCGTGAGTTGAATCCAACAACATAAAAATGAGACAAAACGGAGTTATGACGAAGGAGATAGAAGGGCTTGAAGTGGTGGTTGCTAGTGGTGCTTTGCTGGTAGGAAAAGGATGGGTCTGCATCTTTCTTTTGAAATTTGGGGTCAAAATGTAATTTTTTTAACTTTTTTCGTTTCAAATTTGACGGCAGGGGCAAAGTTGATAGGAACTTAAATAGTATAGGGGTACGTGTGAAAATAAGAATAGTCTGGGGGATCATCATTGAAAATCATAACAAAGTATAGGGGTAAAAATGAAATAATCTCTAATTTTTTTTTCTCATTATGATGTGGCCTCAACATTATTATTTATTTATTGAATGTATAGTGTGATTTATATATGGGTAAATTACACTTTGCCCCCTTAAAGTTGCACCCATTTCCTACTTTGGCCCTTTAAGTTTAATTTTTTCCACTTTGCCTCTTCATATTTGTAATCCTTCCCATTGTGGCCCTTTAAGTTTGATTTTTCTCACTTTGGCCATTTATGTTTGCAATTCTTCCCACTTTACTCCTAAACTAACTTCCATCCAAAAAACTAACAGAATTTAAAACATCACTAACACATTAGCTCCATATGTGATGTAAAAAATTCACTAAAGATACAAAAAATAAAAAATAGAAAACAAAAAAAAATTGAATTTTTTTAGTATTGGGTGAACTTTTTTTTCAAATTTATTCATAAACATTATTACATTATAGATGCATCTAGATTAGATGCAGCTAAAAAAATAAAAACAAATTTAACTAAAAAAGGAAAAAAGTTTACTAAAGACGAAAAAATGAAAATATACCGCCTCAAATACCTGTATTGTCAATTCTGAAATGAAAAGTTTACTATAGTTTTTTTTTTGTCTTTAGTGAACTTTTTTTTTAGTTAAATTTGTTTTTATTTTTTTAGCTGCATCTAATCTAGATGCATCTATAATGTAATAATGTATATAAATAAATTTGAAAAAAAGTTCACCAAAGACTAAAAAAATTCAAATTTTTTTGTTTTCTATTTTTTATTTTTTACATCTTTAGTGAATTTTTTACATCACACATGGAGTATGTATTAGTGATGTGACAAATTTGTTAATTTTTTAGACGGAAGTTAGTCTATGAGCAAAGTAGCAAAGATTGCAAACATGAAAGGCCAAAGTGGAAAAGATTGTAAAGATGAGGGGTCAAAGTAGGAAAAATCAGACTTAAATTGCCAAAATAGGAAATGAGTGAAACTCACTATAACAAATTACATTTTTTGCGATTAAATTTTTAGTCGCAAAAAGTCAATTTTTAGTCGCCAAAAATTTTTACCGACTAAAATTTTAGCCGTCCAGTTGGTCGTTGAGTAATTATAGGCAAAAGAATTGACGATTAATTTTCTTTTAATCAGCTGAAAGTTGCCAATTAGCAATTAAAAATTTAATTGCCCAAAAGAACATACTTAGTCGCCAAAAAGAAAATATTTATCTTCTTCAATTTTTTAGCTACCGATTTTTTAGCCGCTAAAAACGTCACTCTTTTTATCAATTTTTTAGTCACTAAAATTATGATGCTCCCTTTTAGCTATTAATTTTTTAATCGCCAAAAACTTTCATTTTTTGACGGCTAACTATTTAGTCGCCAACAAGTTCCCTCGACTAATTTTGGCTACTAAATGTTTAGTCGACAAAATCTCTATTTATTAATTTTTTTAAAATGCACAAATTGAATATTTTTCATTAATTTCTAAATTATATGGATTCTATTATCAATGCAACCTGTAACCTGTACATATACAGAATAGTACATCTATCAACTATAATCTAAATCCATTATCAATAATACCCATTTCATTATCAACTATTCAAAAACTTTTACTTGTAACATCATATTCCAAATATCATACAAATCCATACCAACCAAGTATAATCCATTTAAATTAAATATTACATACAAAAACACTGAAATTCCAAAACAGAAGATTGTACAAAAATAAATATCTCCCATATACAGAACAAATACTCTTCGTACACAAAAATAAATAACCTACTGCATAATAAAGCTCTTCCAAGGATTTGAAATTATTTTGCTGTAAGCATGCCCAGGCCGAGTTCCCAAATAACATGTTCTTCCAAAAATAGTCTTCACTTAATGTTGAAGCATTGTAATATGTTCTTCAATCCTACCAGATCTCTGCAATTGATCACCAAGTAATTAAAGAGTATTCAAGATGTCAAACTATAACTATTAGGCTAAATGGGAAAAAGAAAACATGGGGAAAAAAAAGTTTTTTTTATTAGGATCATTGTACAACTAAATCACCTTACCATGAAGATTCAAGAAACTACTAAAACGTTATTTTAAATTCATCACGACAAAGTTCTCAAAAAAAGGCTTGAAATCCATTTGTAAACTATCAAATCTAAATTTGAACTAGTTCCTTGAATAAATAGTGCCAAATCATTTAATTTCCTATCCATTAAATCCAAACACAACTTATTCCAAATGCCACGAAAACCAAAAAGGCATTCTTTCCAAATGCTATGAAAATCACACGAGTCATCCATACACAAAAGTTGCATTTCCAAATTCTCCTAATTGTTACCAACAAAATTCACATCAAATCAACAGCTATATCTATGGTGATAGAGAAGGTCAGATTTGAAGAAATGTGCGTACCTTGTAGAGTTCAACTAGCACGTTGTCAAGAGATTCCTGATATTCAAGGGAGCATAGATAGCAGAAAGATGGAAAATTGAGCTTTCATTTATCATTTTCAGAAAATATGCATAAAATTCAAACAATATCAATGCCCAGATCTTTAACCCACAATAGTACAATCAAGGTTTGGCTTAAAGCCATTCTCCTAGAAAACTGATATGTAACCCACCATTTATTGATTTATCATATAAAATTAACCAAATTTATGTTGGTTCAGAATGGGAAAAATTTATTAATCCACCCATGCTACGGAAAGTATGGGAAGAATTTATTAATCCACCCATGTATAAAACTTATTGCTTAAAGACAAAGGAAAGTATGGGAAGAATTTATTAATCCACCTATGCTATCATCAAGACAGTGGATTGAAGTGAGAGAAACAAGTAGATATCAGCAAATATCAACAATCAATCGAATCTATTAATAGTTCCTCCCCCTCTTCCAAAATCCTATGAGCTTGTTTTCTAAATTTTTGATTTGATTATAACAACAGCTGATGGCATTCATGAAGTACCATCAGCAATGCAATATTTTCTGAAGGGGTTTCAAAACCTCTTCACTGCAACAAGGATTGCCATGTCCAATTTTAGCAATCTGTCACTAGCATTTGAACCCTTGAACTGAGGTGCATGGGGTCATACTCAAGAGCAACAGGCTCAAGGAGGGCTAGTATAGATTAGTATGTCCAAACTGCAATAAATAGGATTGTTCATTCAAATAGGAGTGTTGCTACCTACAGCCAATAATCCACCTACAAGCAAAATAAATAACAACAAATCAAATGAACAAAGCAACCATGCAACTGTTAAACTTTATCTTTTTAGTAGATTGTTACCTTCATCTGCCACAGGTTCAACATGGTTTTCATTATCAATCACTGTAAAGGAGACATTCCCCAACCACAAAACTGCAGTGAGCATTTTAAATACACTTTCTTGATCCTCTTTGCTAACATGAACAATATCCAGAGCTTCCTGAAGAGTGAAAAAAGACACAATGACGTTCATATATAAATCAACCCCTATTTCTAAACTTGAAGGGAAAAGGGAAAAATAAGACTCTAAAAGCATTGATGGTTATAACTGTGCTCATAATAATAAGAACAAGGACAAGAAGAAAATACCATTACAATGCGAAACTGTTAGCACAAGGATCCTCTAGAGTGATCTGGTGGAGTTATCCTCTAGAGTGATCTGGAAGGGCTTGACACGTGCCCCACTAATAGAATCAAAGGTTGAGATTACTTTGGTGAGGAAAAAAAAACTCCTTCATTTTCTGCTCTCCTTCTCTTTCTCTCTCTGCTCATCGATTTCTGCCTTCACCGCCGGAAACTTCACGGAGGCAATCATCGATTCCTTCATTTTTTGGGTCTGGAAACCCATCATTGAATTTCCCTGAATCGATCGAGATTGTCGAATTCATCGACCAAACAATCCCAACGAATATTCATGAATAAACCAAACAATATTCTCCCAAATGCTCTTTTTTTTTCTTTGGGATTATTTTCCTGTGGGTTTGTAGAGAAGGTTGAAAATTATTGTTGTGTTTGGATTTGGATTTTTTAATTTTTATATTAATAAGTTTTTTTTTGATTTGGGAGTTATGGTTGGATGGGGTTCCATAAATTAAGGATCGAAGAGGAGGAATTGAGTTTGAGTTGCATAAACTGGGTTTGAGTAATTGTGCTTGAGTTGGATAAATTGGGTTTGAGTTTCAATTGAAGAAGAGGAGCTCAGCTGGCCAGAGATGGTTTCTTCTTCAGCCCCTCTGCTTCTTACTTTAGGGTTTTGCTTTAGAAAATGTAAGAAAAAATAGCACTACTGTAGGGAGAAATAGAGTGACCTCTCAAAATGTGTGGAGAGAAGCAAAGAAAGAAAAAATTAGAGAGAGAAGAGGAAAGAAAGAAAAGCTTTGAGAGTTTTAGGCAAAGTTGAGTGGCTGTGGGCTACCATGTGTCATGTATCATGTATTGAGGAGAAGAGGAAGAGAGGTGAAGGGGAGGAGAGGGGTGGGGTCGCCGAGAGGGAAGGAGAGTGCACCAGAGATGGAGAATTATTCCGGTAACTCTGTGTCCTCTCTCTCTCTTCGTTTCTATTTTCACCTTTTTTTTTTCTTTTTTCTTTTTTCAAATTTCTAACCAAAACGACGTCGTTTTGGTTAGAAATTTGAAAAAAGAAAAAAGAAAAAAAAAAGGTGAAAATAGAAACGAAGAGAGAGAGAGGACACACAGTTACCGAAATAATTCTCCATCTCCGGCGTACTCTCCTTCCCTCCCGGCGACCCCACCCCTCCCCCCCTCTTCTCCTCTCTTCCTCTTCTCCTCAATACATGATACATGACACATGGTAGCCCACAGCCACCTAACTTTGCCTAAAACTCTCAAAGCTTTTCTTTCTTTCCTCTTCTCTCTCTAATTTTTTCTTTCTCTGTTTCTCTCCACACATTTTGAGAGGTCACTCTATTTCTCCCTACAGTAGTGCTATTTTTTCTTACATTTTCTAAAGCAAAACCCTAAAGTAAAGAAGCAAAGGGGCTGAGGAAGAAAGAAACCATCTCTGGCCAGCTGAGCTCCTCATCTTCAATTGAAACTCAAACCCAATTTATCCAACTCAAGCACAATTACTCAAACCCAGTTTATGCAACTCAAACTCAATTCCTCCTCTTCGATCTTCAATTTATCGAACCCCATCCAACCATAACTCCCAAATCAAAAAAAAAAAACTTATTAATATAAAAATTAAAAAATCCAAACCAAACACAACAATAATTTTCAACCTTCTCTACAAACCCACAGGAAAATAATCCCAAAGAAAAAAAAAGAGCATTTGGGAGAATATTGTTTGGTTTATTCATGAATATTCGCTGGGATTGTTTGGTCGTTGAATTTGACAATCTCGATCGATTCAGGGATATTCAATGATGGGTTTCCAGACCCAAAAAATGAAGGAATCGATGATTGCCTTCGCGAAGTTTCCGGCGGTGAAGACAGAAATCGATGAGCAGAGAGAGAAAGAGAAGGAGAGCAGAAAATGAAGGAATTTTTTTTTCTCACCAAAATAATCTCAACCTTTGATTTTATTAGTGGGGCACGTGTCAAGCCCTACCAGATCACTCTAGAGATCCTTGCGCCCCTCGTCATGCCAATTTGATAATGGGGCAATCATATGGTACGATGAGTGCATGTTACAATACTCTAACTTCTTTGGAACTGTAGAAATAGATCCACAAGTTTTGATGTATAATAAGATATTAGTTCACCCAATTATACAAACGTTGACATACTTGCTTTGATGTACGGTCTGGCATCAGAGGCTGGGACGGAGCTGATGATGTATTATGCAAATAAAGAATTACCTGCAACTAAAATTGCACCGAAGAACGTATCTGGGATGGTGCAGTGTAGAAAAGATATAAAAAAATAACTGTTTGGGGAAGCTAATTAAGGGATTATTTGGAGTGTCTTAAATAAGTGTACTTTTTGTTTTTTTTAGACTAAAAAATTGAAGAAAAAAATATGGATGTTTGGGTTAACTTTTTAACTTTTTATGAAAAAATGTGTATTAAAAAATTGTATAGATAAGTGTATAGGGGAATAAAGTAATGGTGTACGCCGTACGGTTGGAAGCACTGGGGGTGTGTAGGAGATTTATTCTCTACTTTTCGGGCATAAGTTGGTTGGTTCTGTTTGGCTCATGTGGGCCACCACGGGTCCTGTTTTACTAATCAGAACCGTTTAATGTGTAGAACTCGTTGAGTACTATATACTTGTAAAAAATCACGTTGATTGGATATCGATGACTATCTAATCGTGTTAGTTTTTTTTGTCAACTGTTAACTATAACATCATTCATTTTTTATACAAAACTCATTTGATCATGTTGTTAGCAATATCCGGTAGACGTGATTTTTACAAGTATATAGTACTAGACAAGTTCTACATATTGAATGGTTCGAATTATCAAAAATGGACCCATGGTGAGCCCGCACGGGCCCAACTTTTCCAATGTCACTTAGTGAATGCTTATAAAATAATTTTTTTTCCCTTTCTTGGCAGTTGGTTTGACTGATGGGCCGAAAAGTTGAATTATTATTTAATATTTATATATTAATTTATATATATATATATATATTAATAAATAGTGATAACTTTTTAATTTTTTGAGTAACTTTTTAATTTTTTGACTTTTTTAATGGACCCAAACCAGCCCTAAGTATTTTTTTTTGATACAGATGAAAGCAAACAACACAGAAAGGAAAATAGGGCAACAAGGGCTAAGCCCTCATGGCACCAACTCCAATCATATCCTCAATAACAAGAGCTCTAACAACTTCGGGGGGATCTTCCAGCATGACCACATGGTCAGTCTGCACCACTCCAAGGTTAGCCAGCCGATCAGCAACTCTGTTGCCTTCCCTCAGCGTGTGTCAAAGGGAACAATTGCAGCGCTTCAGTAGGAACTTGGTATCCTCAATGAGAGCTCGGAAAGGGGAATTATGGCTCGGACCACTGTGAATTAAGTCAATAGCATGTGCCACATCAGTCTCAATAGCCACATTCAATGTGTTTTTCTGGAAAAGGATGGTCAGTCCGCGATATATAGCCCATAGCTCAGCTTCCACAGCAGAACAGTGGCCTAAATATCCGTAGTAACCCCAAACCCATGTACCAGCTTCGTCCCGTAGGAGTCCTCCATAACCAGCTTGTCCAGGGTCACCCTTGGAGCAACCATCAGTGTTGAGCTTTAGAGTATGCTGAGACTTGTTGCCTAGCGATGAGCGGGTGGCGTATATTGGCACCCAGTTGTAATGTGAGGTATGAGGAGTATTTTTTCCTTACACCATCCGTGCCTCCACCTGCGCCTACTACTACAAGCAAAGGTGAGTCAAAAGAAATGCTAAACCAAAATAAAGTGGTAAATTATCGATAAGTTATATTTTTTAAACTTATTACCAATTAAGTCTTACTGATAAATTTATCAGGTTCTCTTGTTTTTATGAACAAATTTATAATAATAAATTTATCAATCAGTAGATAAATAAGTCTAATTAATATGCCTGATTGATAAGTATCCCAAAATAAAATGTATATTTTATAGTATCTTCTGGTTAGATAATAGCCGTAGAGATGCAAATTTTGGATGAAATTTGCGCAAGTAAAAAACTTTGACTAGTTAGGGTTTTGTAATTATTATTTGATTATGTTCCCATTTTACTCTCTTATCCAGGTTAAGAATTTCTTGATATTATTTAGTTATAAGGTCAAGGGAAATTTACCTTACTTTTCTAAAATAATTACAAATTCATGAAAAAGCTTATGACTTTAATCGTTAAAGTATGTAAAGTTTATTATGAATCTATAATTATTTTTAAAAAATATCACTGATTCGTTATTTCTGAGAGAGAGTAGATGGAGATGAAATCAAAAAAAGTCTAAATGAATAAATATATATATCTAAATGAATAAAAGATAGGGATGACCGGGGATATATAATATATATATAATATATATATCATTCGGGGGGACCAACGGGGCGGGGATCGGGGCTGGGGCTGGGGCCGGGGCGGGCCGGGGCTGAAACATGTGTCCCCGTCCCCGGCCCGAATATCATCGAGGATTTTTTTTTTATCACCATCCCCGGCCCGTCGGGGGTATTTTTCGGGGAATAACCGTTATATTCGGGATCGGGGGGTCGGGTCCCCATCGGGCCGGTTTTAGATTGCCATCCCTATTTGGTCACCAATTCCACAACTTTTGGCGACTAAATTTTTTTTTAGTCACCAAAAGTGCATTTCGTTGTAGTGACTATACATGATTTCAATTGTTTTGTTTTTCTTTTTAGTTTTGTAATTTAAGATTAAAATTTAATTATTTTCATTACTTCTTTAATTTCTTAGATTGCAAGAATCTATCAAATTTAATACTATATTTTGTTTATGATTTTAATGGATAAATAATTCAATAAAGAATAAAGTTTAAGATGGTTAAATGTATATTTTGGTTTGTAGTGTCCCACCAATAAGGTAATGCAAGTTTGCCATTATATTAACAATGTATGTTAATTTTATTTTTATTTTATGTTATGAAAAATAAAATCAATCATTTTAAACATAATACAACTAATTTATCTTGGGCGGAGTAAGAGAAAATCAATTGATTTTATGTATATTATAAAATCATAATAGGTATTAAGTTATTTGTGCATAGTTTTACAAAACTTTTAAATTTACAAATAATACTCTATTTGGTTTGGAGTTTTCAAAAATAATTTTATGAGTTTTCAATTCATATTTTCATATTTTTAATGATTTTTTAAAGCATTTTAAATTTTTTTATTTTTTATTTTTTAGATCCACATAATCTTGATATACTTTAAAAGTATAAAATTTGTACAAAAATATTTTGAAAAAACCATTGAATACAACAAATACGAAAATGTATTGAATTTTTTGATTTTTTGATTTTTTTTTAATTTTGATTTTGATTTTTATTTTTATTTTTTTATTTTTTTGTATTTGGTGAATATTTTTAGAGTTTTTCATAAATATTATACTTTTTAAGTATATCTAGATTAAGTGTATTTAAAAAATAAAAAAACAATAAGTATATATATATTTACCAAACTAGATTTTAGTTTTTTTTTGAAAAAAAGTAGTTAGTTTTTAAAACTCAACCAAACAAGTTGATTAATGTAAAATATATTACACTAAACAATTATTTTTTCAATTATATCTATTTAATCAAATTGATAACATCTATTAAGAATTAAACAAAGGACAAAAATAGTCTATCCCAAAGGGAATGGATCTTTTAAAATGGGCATCAACCCAAGCCATTTTGAAGAGAATGAGTAATACTATTTTCCCCTTCAATACCAGTCTAATTTCTAAAAAATATTATTAATTAAATTAAATTGATACAATATGAAAAATTAAGATAAAATTGATCTAATTAAAACTATATTTTACCCTATATTTTTTAGTTCAATTCTCCTTATCAAGAGAAACAAACACCACCTAACTATAGGTTGTTTTGGGAATTGTTTATTTTAGTTGAATTTTTTATTTTTTATGAACGTATAAAAAAAAAAGTAGGGAAAACAGTTACATTTTTTTGTAGTAACTTTTTGACTATTTTAGCACCAAAACAGTTATGTATATGATCCTTTTTTCATGTTAAGGAAAAACTATTCAATGCTCCTAGAGCGTCATGTATTCATACTCTTTCACTAATCATCATACGCCATGCCCTTTCATATTTCAATCACCCGACACAAAATCATGAGTCTTACTTTTTTCAACAATCACAATACCTTAAAGGGCATTGATTTAGACCCCCTTAAAACGCCCACCCCCCACAACCCCCTCACACACATGGAGGTTGGGGATTGGGTGAGAGAGAAAAAAAAAAGAAAAAAAAAGAAAAGTTGACCAATCAAAACTAAAGGGGGTCAAGGGGGTGACCCCCAAAGGGGTCTCAACCTTTATTCTACCTTAAAACACCATATGGCCATACTTCAAGAATACCCAATAACCACTCCATGGTAGGACCACACAAATTTCTAAACACATAGGTCATGGCTCCATAGGATGAAAGGAATTAAAGTATGGTGTAATTGAGTGAGGAGATTAGTAAGGTACTATTATTAGGTTAGAGATGTAGGATAAAGAATGTTTGTTACTGGATTAGTAATGCTAGAGATAGTATTAATATATAAAATTAATATTTTTAAATTTTTAGTATTTTCAATATTATAAAAAAAAAATTGTTCTAAAAAATATAAATTTTGCTTAAAACATTTAAAAATTCACTAAATATAAAAAATATACTTATTAGTATTTATTAAAAAATTTAAATATTTCTTTCACTAATAAATTATTTAAAACATAATAATATTAAAAAAGGTCTTTTATTTTCAATTCAAAGGGATTAGATTAGCAATCCCAACTCCCCAAATGGGTATGCTAATCCCATTTTTAGGGAGGATCGGTAGTCTAATTGAACTAATAGTCCTACAACATTTTAATACAACCAAATATGATTTTGATGGGCCCCACAGATTACTCTACTAACCGTATCTCCAATGGATTGCTAAAACACCTGTTATTGCCAAAATATGGCAACTTGGGCAAAAGATGAGTTCTCTAGTGGCATCCTATAGCAACGGCCAAATTTGGCATTTGCCAAATCTTGTGTCAAAGTTGGCACAAGCTTTGGCAGATTTACCAAATCTGCCAGCTCACCCAAAACCAATTGCTTTCCTTCCTTTCCTCCCTCCCTCCCTCCCTCTTTTTTCTCATCCTTTCCTAGAAAAAACTCCAAAACAGATAATTTAGAATTCACCAATTTGTTTAGGGTGAAGCACCAATAAATCTCAAAATGTGATCTTGTGTCCTTACTTTTTTCTTATGAACCCAAAGGTCCCATTAAAGTGGAAATTATACAAAAAGGTAGTCACTTATATGTTTGGATTTAATTTTTTATAGATAAAAGTGAGTTTCTCCAAATGTAAAATTATACATTTGGACAATATGCACTATAGAGGCTTTGGATTTTCCTTCCTTCTTGAACAAATCTCACATTATGAACAAAAATGTAACACTCCAATAACGTAATACTCTAATGTAACACACTAAAAAACTCTTTGGTATGCTTTTCTCAAACGTAAGACTCCAATCAATGTAATCCCAAACATAACACTCCAATGTAACACACAAAACTGTTAAGATTTAAGCTTTAAGTTTTTATTTTAATAAATATTGTTATCTATAGCTAGGAGATAGATTGCTATTACCTAGTCTATTGGAGAATCCCTAGTTTGTAGTAGTCATGGTTGGTGTGTATAACCAATTCATGTAATCAAGGGTTTAGTTCCACAAAATCTGCTAAGTGACATTGTAGTTGTTTGCAAATGTAGCTTTGCTGCTCTTATTTAAGTTGTATTCCTTCATTCAATTCAATTCAATTCAATTCAATAAAATTAGCTTGAAGCTTTCAGCCATATTGTTATTGTTTTAACACTTTAGCAATTATTCATAGAATCAGTTTTTTCCAACATCTGGTATCAGAGCCACCACTAGCCTGATAAAATAAAAAATAAAATAAAAAATCCCAAACAAGCAGCAGCTTTTGAATTTTGCAGCAGCAAGCATTCATGGCGACTGACAAATTAGTAGAGAATTTTGTCCAGCCAGCCATACCTCACTTTGATGGTCACTATGATCATTGGAGCATGTTGATGGAAAATTTCCCAAGGTCCAAAGAGTATTGGGATCTTGTGGAAACGGGTTTTGTTGAGCCAGAAGGAGCAGTACTGACACCGCCATAACAAAAGAAACTTGATGATCGTGCAATTTTGTAGACCATTCTCCAAAAGGATACATCCAAAAACATTTGGGACTCCATGAAGAAAAAGTACCAAGGCTCAACAAGAGTGAAGCGAGCACACCTTCAAGCCATAAGAAGAGATTTTGAGACTCTTCAAATGAAAAATGGAGAATCAGTTACTGATTATTTTGGAAGAGTTGTGGGGATAGCAAACAAAATGCGAATCCATGATGATAAGATTAAAGATGGTGCTGTTGTTGAGAAGATCCTAAGATCTATGGCTCCAAAATTCAGTTATATTGTGTGCTCTATTGAAGAGTCTAATGACATTGATGAAATGCCAATTGATGAGCTGCAAAGCTCCTTACTAGTCCATGAACAAAGGTTGAATCGATGCACCTCAGAAGAGCAAGCTTTGAAAGCTTCTACCTTTGTTGAATCCACAAGCTCAAGAGAAAGAGGACGAGGTAGAGGTAGAGGTAGAGGACATGGAAGAAGTGCTCGAGGCAACCGAGATGGAAGCAGACAACACGAGTATTTCAAAAGAGATGATGATCACTCCCAGTTTCAGAATAAAAGAAGAGGACAGGTGGACAAGTCCAAGATTGAGTGCTATAGGCGTGGAAATCATGGGCATTACAGCAATAAGTGCTACACAAAGATGCCAAAAGACAAAGAAAAATGAGAGAAGACGAACTTTGTTGAGAAAAGGGAAGAAGAAACACTTTTGATGGCCTTTCATGCCAAGGACGATCCTAAGCTTGATGTATGGTATGTCGACACAGGTTGCAGCAATCACATGAGTGCTAGTGAGTCTTCTTTCTCATCTTTAAATGAAGACTTTCAGACTACTATAAGTTTTGGTGATTGTTCTACTGTAAATGTGATGGGAAAGGGAGAGATTCATATTAGAACTAAGAATGATTTTGTTGAAACAATTTCGAATGTTTTTTATGTTCCTAATCTAAAAACTAATCTGTTGAGTGCTGGCCAATTGCAAGATAAGGGTTATATTATAACAATTCAGAAAGGTGCATGTGAGATATATGATCTAGCAAGGGGTGCTATTGTTGTTGTTCAGATGACATGAGACCAAACAGGTTGTTTCCGCTGAAAATCAAGACTATTCAAGCTTGCTTGTTGGCTAAGGAGAATGATCCATCATGGCTTTGGCATTTTCGCTATGGCCATTTGAACTTTAATGGGCTGAAAACACTTCATCAGAAGCAGATGGTGACAGGCCTCCCTATGATCACTCCTCCATCCAAAGTTTGTGAAGAGTGTGTTGTTGGCAAGCAACATCGTGTTCATTCCAAAAGGGAAGGCAAGGAGAGCTACAAAAATGCTGGAGCTGGTCCATTCCAATATTTGTGGACCCATAAATCCGACGTCTAATGGTAATAAGAGGTATTTTATTACATTCATTGATGATTATAGTCGGAAAACATAGGTATATTTTTTGCAGCAATAATCTGAAGCTTTTTCAGCATTTAAAAGTTACAAGGCCCTGGTTGAGAAAGAAGTTGGGAGAGTTATTCAAACTCTTCGAACCGATCGTGGTGGAGAATACAACTCACGAGAATTTCCAAATCTATGAAAGGAACATGGAATTAGAAGGCCGCTGACTGCAGCCTATACACCACAGCAAAATGGTGTGTCCGAGAGGAAAAATCGTACAATCTTAAACATGGTGCGAAGTATGTTGGCAGGGAGAAGCGTTCCAAGGAGTTTTTGGTCTGAAGCAGTCAATTGGGGCGTTCACTTATTGAATAGAAGTCCCACACTAGCTGTCCGAAACATGACACCTGAAGAAGCATGGGCTGGGCGTAGACCATTCGTTGATCATTTCAGAATTTTCGGATGTATAGCATATGCTCACATTCCCAATGAAAAAAGGAAGAAGCTCGATGACAAAGGCGAAAAATGTATTTTTCTTGGTGTTAGTGAACATTCAAAGGCCTACAAGTTATATAATCCCATCACCAAGAAGATTGTTATCAGCCGGGATGTGGTTTTTGTTGAAGAAAAGATGTGGGATTGGACTGGAAAAGGCAAGGAACTAAAGCAAATTCCAGTTGATTTTGATGATGCCGAGAATAGGATTGAAACGCAGTAGCAGTCCTTTGATGAACACTTGCCCAGTTCTTCAGCGACTACACCAACAAATGAGCAGCCGCCTCCAACAAATGAACAGCCACCTGAGAATCAACGTCCAAGGAAAAGACCAGCTTGGATGATTGACTATGTAAGTGGGGATGAACTCTCAGATGATGATATTACTGCTCACTTTGCATTGTTTGCAGATTTTGATCCTATCACATTTGAGGAATCAGTCAAGGACACTAAATGGCAGAAGGCAATGAATGTTGAGATCAAATCCATAGAGAAAAATAATACATGGGAGCTGACTGACTTGCCAAAAGGACAGAAAACTATTGGTGTGAAATGGGTTTTTAAAACCAAGTTGAATGAGAAGGGGGGGATAGACAAGCACAAGGCTCGCCTGGTGGCAAAGGGATACAAGCAAGAGTATGGTGTTGATTACAAAGAGGTGTTTGCTCCAGTTGCAAGACTAGACACAATTCGCTTGGTAATCTCTTTAGCTGCTCAAAACTCTTGGCCTATTTTTCAATTAGATGTAAAGTCTGCATTTTTACATGGTAAATTGGAAGAACAAGTACATGTAGATCAACCTCCAGGTTACGTGCAGCAAGGCAATAAAGAGAAGGTGTATAGATTGAATAAGGCACTCTATGGGTTGAAGCAAGCACCACGAGCTTGGTACAGCTACATAGATGCTTACTTTGTCAAGCAAGGCTTCCAAAAGTGCCCATAAGGACACACATTGTATGTTAAGGTTGATGATGAAGGTAAAATGCTCATTGTGTGTTTATATGTTGATGATCTGACTTACACAGGAAGTGGTGTTGATATGTATGATAATTTTAAAAGGTCTATGATGAATGAGTTTGATATGACTGATTTAGGACTGATGCAGTACTTTCTTGGCATAGAAGTACAATCAGCAGCTGGTAATTTTGTTTCTCAAAAGAAATATGTCCAGGAAGTTTTGTAGAGGTTTGAAATGCTGAAATGCAATCCAGTTGGAACACCGACTGAAACAGAACTAAAGCTGACTAGAGATACTGATGGAGAAAGAATTGATAACACATTTTTCAAGCAAATTGTTGGAAGTTTGATGTATCTAACTTCAACAAGGCCTAACATCATGCATGCTGCTAGCTTAATTAGTCGCTATATGGAGAATCCCACTGAGGTGCATCTCAAGGCAGCAAAAAGAATGTTTCGATACTTAAAAGGCTCATCTGATTTTGGAATTCTTTACAAAAGGGGTGAAAAACAAAGTTTCTTTGGTTTTACTGACAGTGATTATGCAGGTGATATTGATGATCGAAAGAGCACTTCTGGTAATGTGTTCTTGATGAGCTCAGGTGCCATTTCATGGTCATCAAAGAAGCAGCAAATTGTGACACTTTCGACAACTGAAGCAGAGTTTGTAGCTGCTGCTTCATGTTCCTGTCAAGCTATCTGGCTGAGAAGAATGCTTGAAGTCCTTGGTCATCAGCAGCAAGGCCCAACAAGAATATTTTGTGATAATGTTTCTGCCATTCAGCTTTCCAGAAATCCAGTTATGCATGGGAGAAGCAAGCATATAGATGTTCGTTATCATTTTTTGCATGATCTTTGCAAAGATGGTGTGATTGAGTTAGAGTTTTGCAAAAGTGGAGATCAAGCAGCTGATATCTTAACCAAACCTCTCAAACAACCAGTGTTCGAGAAGCTCAGAAGCATACTTGGAGTTTGTTCATCAGCAGAGGCTGGTTGCATTGTTGCTGATACACAAAAAAATAAGTTGCTGAAATGATGTTTGAATTCTAAACTGTATTCTGCAGAAATCAGTTTAAGGGAGGGTGTTAAGATTTAAGCTTTAAGTTTTTATTTTAATAAATACTGTCATCTATAGCTAGGAGATTGGTATTACCTAGTCTATTGGAGAATCCCTAGTTTGTAGGAGTCATGGTTGGTGTGTATAACCAATTCATGTAATCAAGGGTTTAGTTCCACAAAATCTGCCAAGTGACATTGTGGTTGTTTGTAGATGTAGCTTTGCTGCACTTATTTAAGTTGTATTCCTTCATTCAATTCAATTCAATAAAATTAGCTTGAAGCTTTCAGCCATATTGTTATTGTTTTAACACTTTAGCAATTATTCATAGAATCAGTTTTTTCCAACAAAAACACCAAAAAAACTCCTTGATGTACTTTTTTTCAAACATAACACTCACAGTTTGAAATTATACATTAGCTCAAAGCTTATTAATGCATTTTTGTACTTCTTTTGGAATGGTTTGAAGAATCCCACGTCCTTTTTTTTAGGAGTGCTACATTAGAGTGTTACGTTTGAAAAAAGTTCACTAATGAATTTTTTTTTTTTATATTACATTGGAGTGTTACACTAAGAATTTTTTTTGAAGTGTTGTATTGGAGTGTTGCGTTTGGAAAAAATACACTAAAGATTTTTTTTTGAAGTGTTACACTTTGAAATTATACATTTTTCCAAATTTTATTAAGGAGTTTTTGTACTCTTTCTGAAATGTTTGAAATGTTTGAAGAATCTCATATTTTAAGTCATTTTTTTACTTCTTTTGAAATTGTTTTTAAATAAAAAAGATTCTCATATAAAAATCATCCCAAATTTGATTCCCATAGATTGTGTGCTTTCTATCACAAGAAAAAAAGAGAATGAAACATAATATAAATAAGAGTATGTAACAGTAAATCTAATTTCTAAATAATATATTAAATCTATATTTCCAAAATCAATGAGACTAATTGGTTTATAAGAAAATCCTAAGGACTAAATAGATCATCATTCCTCAATGTGAGATTTATAGATAAATTTTTCATTTCTTTATACAAATTTAGCATTTTTTTTTTTTTTTTGGTTAGCAAAATTCACCAAAACTTGCTCAACAGATCAGACAACAACAACAACAACAATCAAGTAATTTCAAACAAATTTGAAGCAATCTCAAACAAATTTCAAATAATCTTAACAAATCTCAAGAAATCTGAAGCGAATTTTAACAAAAAAGAATACCTGGATTTGAAGATGGTTGACGAATTTCAGATGATTTCAGCATTCTAAAGAGTCGGCTTCATCTTCTTCATTTTCATCTTCTTCAGAAAGCCAATTTGGATGCTCTGAGTTTCATTTCAAGGGTTTCATCTTCTTCATCAAGTGATTTCAAGGGTTTCGACTTGATTCAATCAAGGGTTTCGGTTTATTTCAGACATAGATCGAAGATACAATAGGGTTTCGATTTCAAGGGCTAGGGTTTAGAGAGAGATAGAACAGAGAGGGTTAGAGAAGATGAAGCCGAAATCCTATGTTCTATCGAATAATGCTTTGTGATCTGTGATCCTCATCAATTGATCTTCACCGAAGATGAAGAGAAAGATAAAGAAACATGGGCGTGGTTCTGGGATTGTGTGAGACAGATGGAGAGAGAGAAAGAAAGAGGGGAGTGGTTGTAGCGATGAAGATATGGTGGTGGTGGTGGTGGTGGTAGGGAAAAGATGAGGGAGAAAGATACGACTACTTGATAACGAAAAGAGTTAATGAGTGAGAAAAAGCAAGGGTGGTTGTGAGCCGTTGGACGTGAATGGTGGGGTGGATTTATAATTTTTTTTCTAAATTTTTTATATTTGTGGTAGATTGTAAATATTTAATTTTTTTTTAGAAAGAATTATAAAAAGATCATAAAGAATTATAAAAAGATCATAAAAGATAAAGATAAAAATAAAAATAAAAATAAAAACAAAAAAATTACTCAAAAAATTATATTCAAACACCACCTTAAAAATAGGAGGGAAAGCTGAATGGGAATATGCCAAAATGGCATTGTACTGTTGGGGTATGTTTGATTGGAAGGATTAAAGCATAGGATTAGGATTATTAATCCATGGGCCCAATCATCCTATGTTTGTTTTGACATTTTGGTTTAGGATTATTAATCCAATAGATAATTAATCCAATAAATTTGTAGGATTATTAGTAATGGGGTAGAGGTGGGATAGTTAATACCACACTAATTTGATAGGATTATTAATACCTCACTATTAGTGTTGTGAATCAAACATTATTATTATAATTTGATATCTTACTATTATAATATATTAAATTATAGTTTTGACAATGTTGTTCTGACAATTAATATTGGAGATGCTCTAAGTCAGCAAAGTCGTCGCTTTGGGTTCCGAAAATTTGACTAAAAAAAAGTTTTAGAATTTTGTTAACTATTATATTAGCTTATAAAAAATAAAAAAAAAAATCTTACTAGAATTTAACGAGTTTCAACAAAATTCAGTTATGATTTAAAACTAATAGATATTTGATGTGGTAAATTATTAAAACTAATAGATAGTTGCTTTTTATTGAAAGAAACCAAAAACCTTACTGATGTGGTGAATTCTTTGAAATTATTGAATGGTTATTTTTTAAATGTATAGATTATATATAAAATATGATTGACTATACTACTTACAGTTGTTATTTTCAAATTAATTTTTTTATATTCTTTAGCATCTTCTGGATACTTTTTCTCAATAAATTTTATTTATCCACAAAAAAAAAAAAAAAAAACTTATCTTTGCTCAACTATGTTAAATGAAATATTAAATGGATTAGCAATTTTATCCATCGAAAATGATTTAGCTTATAAGTTGGATTATGCGAACTAGATTAATAATTTTATAGCTAAAAATGTAGGAAGAGTGATGTTTAAGTGATTTTTGTTATAGTTTGTTCGTTTTTTATTGATATTTTAGTTTAGATTATTTTAATCATTTTTCTTATTGTAATGTATACTATGTTGAAAGGTCCCATGTTGAAAGTTCACTTTGCGTCTCAAAAAAGTCAGAGCTGACCCTATTGCAGGTTGATTATTCAGTAGTTCGGGAGTATGGTCACGTGATACTCTATGGTAGTATGATTGATGGAGAAATTGGAGCATTAATTATTTGTATTGGTAATTGAGGAATATGAGGTGGCATAAGGAATGGTGATTGGTGAGGTAGTATGTTTACGTGGTACTCCGAGAGTACCTAATAATTTTCCCTACCGAGATTATTTTGGGTAAAGTGAATGTATGTGGGGGGTCTATATATGAAATAAATCTGAGCTATTAATGTAAAATTTTGGATAATTCTAAGTGTTTATGTTTAAGTCTGTAGCATTATTGGATTGAAAAAGTCTGAGTTCCAGATTTAACCACCTAGATTTTTTAGGGTGAGAGATTGTGTGGTGGATATTGAATTTGAGTAGTGTAAGATTCATGTACAAAATAGGGAGTGTTTGATAATATGATTCAACACTTAAGACTGAATTGATTAAGTGATAATAGATATTTTCCCTACCGCCAAATCCGCACCGAGATCAAGTGGCGGTTTCAAAACTCCCACCCGCTGACCAAACCGACCTACACCGCCTATGTATATATAAGGCTCATAAAACTGCTTTTGAAGAGAGAGAGAGAGAGAGATGGTCAATTTCTTTATAGGGTTTGAAGTGCCTCTCGATCTCGCCCATTTCGCCTTTGTTGCCGATGGACTCGCCTTCGTCGCCAATCGACTTGTCTCTCACATACCTGTGGTTGGTACTCTAACTCATCTCATTCATCAGATCGACTAGCCTTTTGTCTCCCCTCTTGCTCCTCCTCCGATCGGCGCTGCCGCTAACCTTAACCTTTCTGTTACCAGTGCTCGATCGCAGGGAGTTTTCTACAAATTTGGAACTATACTTTCTTGCAAGATGGCTGAGGAACATGTGAATAGCAAGGTTTTAGGTTTGTTCAGTTTGGTTCAGAGAATTCATCCATGGCTGCTCTGAATTCTCTTCATGATACCATGTTTCAATGGAAGAAATTGTAAGTACTCTTTGTTCCTATTTAAGTCATTGTTTTATCTTCTCAATTAGCTTCTTCGTCTACAGTCAGATTTTGTTGTTTTTTTTTTGATATTGTGGATTATCTATACCATCTCTCTGTCTCTCTGTCTCTCTCTCTATATATATATATATGTGTGTGTAGGTACATTTTTCTATATACAACAATGATTCATCCCACTAAAAACATCACCACTAATAGCACTTAAGTCATTGTTTTATCTTCTCAATTAGCTTCTTCGTCTACAGTCAAATTTTGTTGTTTTTTTTTTATATTGTGGATTCTCTATACCATCTCTCTGTCTCTCTGTCTCTCTATATATATATATATATGTGTGTGTGTGGGTACATTTTTCTATATATATATATAAACTGTTAGCTACTGTTGCTCAATAATAATAATAAAAGTGTAATTTGTTTACCATTGAATATATATTAAACTGTTAGCTACTGTTGCTCAATAATAAACAAAAATGTGTAATTTGTTTACCATTAAATATATATGAATTGTTAGCTACTGTTGCTCAATAATAATAAAAAATGTGTAATTTGCTTACTATTGAATATATATAAACCGTTAGCTACTGTTGCTCAATAAATAAAAAAAAATGTGTAATTTGTTTACTATCGGTAAAAAAAACGTTTGAGAAATCTTAATTATGTGGGCAAAAAATGTTTTGGCTAAAATATTGAGTATTTGAATTTTTATTTATACTTGCTTATTATAAAGCGCCAATCCGTCCGAACCGTCAAGTCAAAACCGTCATTATTTGCCAGCCGAACCGCCGGTTTTTTATAAACAAAATGGCAATTTCTAATGTCAATTTTGTCAATCCGCAACCCGCCGTGTAGTTTTTATTTTACTCCTAAACCGCACCGACCTGCACCGCGCACACCCCTAATTGTCATTATTGCCATGAACATCACCATTATTGTACTACTATTATCATCGCTACCACCACCACGCCATTGCCGCCGCCACTATCACTACCACCACTACCACTACCACTATGCCACTCCTCCACCACCACCACCACCACTATAGCGATCCCGGTTATCCCTTTACTGTTCTGTTGTATTCCGGACTCGGTTCCGTGAAGTTGGTAGTGGTATCTATCTTGTTGTGTCCTTTAATTCCACATGATTGAGTTTTTGGATGTTTTGAACAGGGTTGTTACAGGTTGGTTAGGCCTTGGTTTCAATTCCTTGTTGTTCAATTTTTAGGTGTTCCGCTCGAGCGGGTCTTCTTGCGCTCGAGCGGGGATTGCACACCTCCAGTATTTCGGGTTTCTGCAAAACTTCTGCAGATGTGATTTCTGCGCTCGAGCGGGTTTGTTTACGCTCGAGCGGTGGCGCTCGAGCGGGTCGGTTGACGCTCGAGCGGGTAGTACTTCCTGGGTGTAAGTTCTGGGAGGTGGAAATCTACGCTCGAACGGACTGGTTTTCACGCTCGAGCGGAAGTGCTTTATTCTTGTATCTTGGCGCTCGAGCGGGCCTTATTGCGCTCGAGCGTGTCCAGAGTTTTGTTCTTGGCGCTCGAGCATCGTGTTCTCCGCTCGAGCGGGTCATACGTATATGAGTTATCCGCAGGGTGATTTCAAATCACTTTTTGCTTTTCTTTCTCTCTCCTACTTTTTCTAAAAACCCTTTTTGAGAGCCTCTCTCTCTAGATACTCCCTTCTCTCTAGGGTTTGATCTAGTTAAAGTGTCCTCCTTCTCTTCGGCTTTTGTTAAAGTTGTGTTGATCGTCGAGGGTGTCGTTTTGATCTGAAAATCTCGGTCTTTGGAACACTTTGGTTTTGGTCTCTTCTCCATCCAAGCTCTAATTTCGAGGTAGGGATATCCTACTCCTTTCTATGAGCTTTGTCTTTAAATTTTAGTATTTTGAGATGTTGGGGTTGGTTTGGTAATTTTGTGAGAGTTTGGGGGCTTTTGTGTAAATTTACAAGAGTTGGGGGGTTTTAGCTAAATAAAACCTAGATGCATGTTTGGCATGAAAAAGTGAAATTAATGTTGAGACATTAATGAAAATGGAACCTAAGGGTTGTAATGTAAATTATGGGAAATGCCCTAATTACATTGGTTAATTAATTTGCATAATTAATTATGAGAAATGAGGAATTGATTTGGGGATCATGGGATGAAAGGGTGTAGTTGGATTAATTATCACTCACCTAGTTGGAATGTTGATTATATATCCATTATTGCATTTATTTTCTACATAGAAATAACTGCTTTGGGCTATCGGTGGAGGATAGTCTTGATTGTTGTAGACAATGCATGATGATTAGGCAAACTGTAACTAATCACTGCAATGTGTCATTGAGATTGACGATTGAAAGAATACATTAAATTTATGTATCGTGTGATGATGTGTATAATTGTTGTTTATATGTATTGTGTTGTGTTGGAGGAGATAGGAGATGTACTCCACGGTTTAGGGGAAGATAGGGGATGGACCTCTAAACCGGATGTGTTGGGAGGAGATAGGGGATGGACTCCATAGATAGAGCTCATATGCTTATCTACTAATGTGTTGATAGAGCTCATATGCTTGTCATTGGAAGCGTGATAGTGCTCATATGCATATCTGTAGAAGTGATGATATAGCTTGTACGCTTATCTATTGTTGTGTGATATAGCTAATATGCTTATCTATTGTGAAATGGGAAGTGTTTCATATGAGTTATTTGGCCAGGTTCTGAGCCATGGTTGTAAATTGAGAATTGAAAGAAATGGAAATGAGTCGTAATATGGACTTGTATGTCATGAAAATGTAAAGTGTGATAAGGGAAAGTATCAGTGTTGGCCATCTATCAATTGCTAATCTTTTAGTCATTATTCATATTTGGTTTAGTGTATTTCTACTGGGCTGTGGCTCACCCTATATGGGAATATCATTTTCAGGTACAGGTAGCATGCCACCTCCAAGGACGTAGCTTGGGAGGCTAGAGGCGGACACACTTTTGTCGTTTTATTTTTGATGTATTACATGTATATTCAAGCCAAGGGCTTAATGTGTAGATGAGTTAGTACTCTTTTGTTGTAACCAAGTGTTAACTTAGAAAGCTGTAAGCCTTTAGGGCATTTGCTTTTATTGTTAATATGTAATACTTTTTGTAATGAAACTCTGATGAATGGAAGAATGTGGAACTTTTGTAAATCAATGCATGTCTATATAGATGGGTTTTATGTTATTATTTTGAGGGCGTGACAACCACCATCATCACAATATAAAAATAAAAAATAAAAAAATTCAAATTTTATCTTATACATATCAAATGATTTATTTTTAATTCAGCACTTAAATTTTTTTCAAATAACTTTTCAACTTAAAAATTCAACATTCAATTTTTAATACTTAATTTTCAATCATCAATTTTCAAATTTCAACTTTATCAAATACCACCTAAATATGAATCATAAAACAATAATTCTAAATAATTTATAAATTATTAAATTTGAGTTCGTAATAGGGATATTTGCCAATAAATCCCATCTCACAAACAAGTATTCCAATTAGTCTCATTTTTTTTTTATTGATCTGTTAAGTTTTGTTAGTTGAGAGTTTCTTTCTGTGTGGTTCTATTTTTTATTTTGATAGTATTTTGGTGGACAGTTATACATTTTTATTAATGTGATAGGTATGATGTGATACTCCAATGTGGCAGGCATTAACGTGACACTCCAAAAGAATTAAAAACTCCTTAGTAAACTTTTTCTAAATGTGACAACGTAGCGGGTATGACGTGACACTCCAAAACTTTTATTAAAAATAAAAATAAAAACTCTTTAATGCACTTTTCTCAAATGTGACAACGTGACAAGTATGATGTGACACTTCAAAAAAAATAAAAATTCCTTAGTGTATTTTTCTCAAACGTGATGGGTATGATGTGATATTCTAAAAACAATTAAAAACTAGTTAGTATAATTTTTCCAAACATGACACGTGACACTCTAACGTGGCGGGATGATATGACACTCTAGAAAAATTAAAAACTCTTTAGTGTATTTTTCTCAAATGTGACACCCTAACGTGACGGGTATGATGTGACACTAAAACACTCTTTAGAATACTTTTTTCCAAATGTGACACTCTAATGTGACGGGCAAATGAGTCATCACACATCTAAAAAGATTAAATGGATCATAAAAAAAAAATATAAAATTATGTAGATTACAAATCCAAAATATAAAATTTGTTGATCAACATCCCTTTGTAATATTGTTGAATTAAAGTTTGTGGAACAAAACCGGTTATGTTGTTGGCCCATGGTTTTGTTCAAGAAAACGGTGGGCTGGGCTGGTTTTGTCTTTGAAAACTTGTTCTTTAGAGTAACTGTTTTGTAGAGTGTCACGTGCGTCTCCTTCAATAATGTACAGATTTGTTTGCTTGTTTAAATATGGGCTGGTGAGGCCAAACCGTGAAGAACTTTTAATTTGTTAAACCATCCTATTTGATCCCAAGAAGCACATTGTTGTTGGTGATTTTTATTTATTTATTTATTTTTGAACTAGCCCATGGTTGATTATTGTTGTAGTTTGGTAATCGTTTTGCTGGGCCACGACCTGTGCTGTGTATTATTAAATGTATGAAGTGGGTTTTCAGGGTGATTTTATTTGCACTAGAAAAATAATAATTTAATATATTTAATTAAAATTTTAATTTTTATTATATTTTGATATAAATTTATTAATAAGAGTAATATATATTAAATTTTAAAATAAAATATTATATTATTTCTCATAATATATCCTAATCACTTATACGTATTTTTCATATTAAGCCTTTTCATTTTCCTTCTAAAATATCAATTATTCTTTTTTATTCTTTCTTACTTCAAAACTCTAATTTATCCTATCAAAACTCACTATTGTCATCAATATTATTATTTCTTATTATGTTGTTATTTGCAAATAGAATAAATAGAATAAAGTTTAAACAAAATCAATGGATGTGAATAATAATTAAAACTAATTTTTGGATCAACCCATCAAAGATGAGGTAAGCATTCACATAAATATCAAAAATATAATTCTTAATTTATATATATTTTTAACATAAAAATAAATATTTAAAAATTTAAATAAAACAATCTCGTTCAACACTAGACCGCAAGCTATCAGAGGGTAAAATAAAAAATTATGGCGCTAAAAAACCTAGAACCATCAGAGGGTAAAATCAAATATTACGGCGCTAAAAAACCTAAAACCACTATCCCAAACAAATGAATGAAAAAACATGAAAACGTAATGAATGAAAAAACATGAACGATTCAATGTATTTCTTGAATGAAAAAACATGAAAACGTAATGAATGAAAAAATGATGATCCAGTGCACCCACTTCCAAACCAAACCTGTCATGACCCGAACCCGCTCCTATGGGTTAAGGACATAACTGGCCAGTAATCGAGGGATTACCTACGGCCTCAAACCAAACCAGACATAACTCATCAGAGTAAAGGGGCCAAACGGAAGCAAAATTTAAAACTTTATCCATACAGCTGTGCTTACATGGCACATCATAACAAACCACGCATATACATGTTAATAACTCACATCATAATATGTACTAATCACAAAGCTCTGTACATACAAGATCATTCAGTCTAGGTCAGCCAATCAAAACTATATACAAACATAAACCAAAATCCTCGCCAACATGACAAAATAAACTAGATGGCAAAAGGGCGAAGACAGGTCTCGTGCGTGAGACGTGTGGGCTGACTCTTCAAAACCTTGGTTGTTTCACACAGACTTCACTGAGGCTGGGTTTGGATCTCCCTTGGCTCACCTACAGACACATGAATGAGCGTGAGCTATAGCCTAGTGAATAATATCAAATAAAGGAGATACATTGGAACAATATACATCTAACAGCCTTAGGCCCAATTCTTATTTCTGTCTAATACATACATATATTCATACGTAGGTCAAATAACTACGGTTCCAAACATATCAGACGGCCTCGGGCCCAATCTATTCGTGTCAAACTGGCCTTTGGCCCACTTATCTTTCATTCATATCAAACTGGCCTTCAGCCCATTCATACTTTTCGGGTTAAACTGGCCTTCGGCCCAATCATACCTTTATGTCAGACTGGCCTTTGGCCCATTCATTCTATCATGTCAAACTGGCCTTTGGCCCACTCATACTTTCATGTCAAACTGGCCTTTGGCCCATTCATTCTATCATTCAGATCCTACTGGCCTCTAGACCATTTATTCATTCGTGTCAAACTGGACTCTGGCCCATTCTTTCATTCATGTCAAACTGACCTCTGGCCCATTCATTCATTCATTCATGTCAAACTGGCCTCTGGCCCATTCATTTTGTATAGCAAACATATGCCCCCCGTTCAGATAAACAGACTTATAAGACTTACATAGAAGTAAGCAATTGGACAAATAACGTACTTAAGATATCTTTAATAAGATATTACTCACAGTGATCGGTTGGTTAATTTGCCCTGGAGCTTGACCCTACACATCATATAACACATATGGGTCACAAACGATTCAATCCGTTCTTAATTCACATATTCCTCTTTAGGCTTCTTTCTTATCCTTCTAACTCATTTACAATGCTCAATGTATGCCTAAGAGTACTTAGAAGTGAAAGAGAACAGAAAACGAAACACAGAAGGCCTTTTCAAAATTTCAAAAAACAGGGTCCCTGCTCGAGCGTGGACTTCCCTGCTCGAGCAGACCCAGAAGGTCTGCAAAAGTACTGGATGCATCAAATTTACACTCGAGCGTGAAGTCGGGCGCTCAAGTTGAAGGTCTGTCTACATAGCTCCCTGCTCGAGCGTGAATTTCCTCGCTCGAGCGGACACCTTGTCTGCAAAAATATACTGGGAGCACGAATTCCATGCTCGAGCGGAGGTTCTCCCACTCGAGCGGACATCAAATTTTCTGAAAAATCCAGAACATGTTCTTGAGCTTCAACTTGATATTCAAAGGCTCTAAATGCATGCTTTTGGCTAAATCTTCGCATATACATATACTAACATGGTATAAATACCAAATTACATCATTTTGAAGCTCAATTCCACAAATTAATTACATACATGTCCCAAATTACATAAACTCATATCCAACATGGCAAATTCATGCATTCAACACCTACACCCCTATGAATTGTATATGCATGTGACATCTTACTCTTATTCTCAACTTACAGGGTGCAAATGGTGATTACAAACATGAGCTTTAACCAAAATTCTGCATGGATCATGTATTTGAAGCTCAACATGCGAATTCAAAGCAATTACATACATGTATGCATACATTGACCTTCAATTCAACATGATCAACTCAATTCATAGTCTAACTCACTAATTAATCTTCAATCCACAAAATTACAATTCAACTCATGAATCAAAGGATTGATTACTCACCTAGAAGCTTAATCTCCCCAATTTATGCTTAATTCTTGAGTTCAGCCTTCCAATTTCTCAAACTTGAGCCAAACACATAATTTTCCCTCTTGTTCCCTCTTTAGCCGACCCGCTCTCTCTCTCTCTTAGAGTTGATATCAGCCAAATGAACACAAAAGAAACGAATTGAGAGTGTAATGGCCCTTATATAACCCCACTAAGTTACATTAATTTAATATTAGATATTTGAGCATTTAATTGATTAATTAAATCAATTTAATTTGATCTGAATCAATTTCCAATTAAATTTCACCGTAGGCTCTAAAAATTACGCCAATCACAATGGCGCAGTTAATTTCGATTTCTGTGGCCGATAAGGCCTTCAATTTAATTTCCAAAGTAGATAATCAAATAGATATTCCTACGGTGAACAGATAGAAATTCAAAACCACATATTCTCACATAAATGGTACACAGAATCATATCAAACACATAATCACATTCATGATAAGGACCAATTAGCATAATAAGGAACAGGGTTATCACAAAACCACACCGAACCGACTTTCGTTTCGTCCTTTTCCT